TTCTTTCCAAGGGAATCCCACTGCTGGACTGCTCTCGAGACAGTGTTCTTTCCAAGGGAACTCCACTGCTGGACCGCTCTCGACAGTATTCTTTCCAAGGGAATTCCACTGCCATTCCACTCTCCCATTCAACTTATTCGTATACGGTCGCTCATTTGTGTATAGTCGCATTTTCGTGTATAGCCGCTCGTTCGTGTAGTCGCTCATTGGTGTAGTCGCACATGTGTGTACAGTCGCTCATTCGTGTATATTTGCTCATTCCTGTATTCGCTTATTCGCGCTATAGTCGTGTTGTCGCTCGCGAAACCTTAGACCATAATTACGCCCTTGAAGGTTGAAGACCAGAGCACTGCTTATATATATTACTTTTTCAGACACCGGGTCACCGACCTATATCCAACCATATCCAATAACCACTTACTTTGAGGTCAAGGTGAAGCATCGTGCTTAAGACTACAAAAAGGCACCGCCATTACAACACCCCAAAACGCTCTTAGGCGTCCACCCCAGACTTGCTCGACACATCATCCTCCTCGACCGCTTTTAGGACTTTTTTTTCTTGGGCTTTAAAGCTTGCGTGCGTCGTTTAGCGTCTTTGACGTCTCTCGACATCGCAAAGCTCTTCCTTACGCTTCGCGATGAAATCATTGATTCCCTCGGCAGTCATCTCAGACATTGGCTTTGCCACGTAACCTTGGATCTTCGCGTAGCAGGCGTTGAGATTGTTAGCGTGGGATTCCAAAGATCTCACCTGAAGGATCTCAGGCAGACTAGGAAGACTAATTCACACTGTCCCACAGCGTCGCAATGCATGTGATCACATGGACGCCAGCGCGCCATTTGTCCAAAAACAATCTCAGATCAGTCACCAGCTCGGTGCAATTGCGGACAATTCTTCTCTTCGAAATCATTCAGGCAACCGGTCCTATTGTTGATCAATCCGAGAGTCCTGGGAGATCACGTGGGTGAGTGAAGCAAAGAGTCGAAGACCTCCAAACAATCTATAAAACAAACCCGGGATCTTGAGCTAAGATTCTTCTTCTCAAAAGTCCACAAGGCCTTGTGAGCTTCTTGCAACGGGGTAACCTCCTTCTTGGGCTTTTTGTTCTTGATCTGTCCGGTCTGCAAGTCGAAGTTGGGGCCGAGTTGATCTGCCATAGCGGACTTGAGCTCACTGGCAACTCTTTTCTTGGATTCTGGATCCTTCACAATTCCACCAAGCTTCACCTCAATGAACCAGACGGCGAGTGAGCTACATCAGCCCCACATCCAATGGAAGAATCGCCCAATTTTGTTATCGGTATATGCCCTGCATAGTCTCTGGGGGAACAGAATAAAAAACAATGACTAAACAGTACATCGAGGTTCAGAGCTTTCAGCCACCCTACCAGATTTGCCCTCTTCAAGAATACGGGTGAGAACCTTGTACATCCGTGCTTTCGGATTGTCCGGCGCCTGTCAGGCGCAGACAGCAGCGAGTCTCCAATCTCCAAGACCAAGTTTGACCCTGCAGGCCTGTGGGTGCGGCACGCCGGCTTGACCTTGGGCCAGGATTGGTCTCGGGGAATCAATTCTAACAACACCCTGAAACTCCCTGACCTTCACCCACTCAAACAAAGAAGTCCAAGGCGCCACCAGTGATAGATTGGATGAAGGCTTTTGCCTCCTTCGAACGACCATATGTCTTCTCCAGCTGCAGGATTGTGACCTGAATCATGGGTTTGTGCACCCTGAAAGGAAAATCAGAATACAGCATCCATGTAAAGTACGGAAACCAATAAAGGGCAAGGGTCCGTTGAGTACTGATCTGTTCGAAGTTGTCCTGCGTACTGACGGTAATGTTCTTCGATGGAAATCTGCGATAGGTCTGGATTGAGCATCCAGACACGGAGCATCTGAAACCTTAAAGAGGTCGATTCCAAAAAGGGGACACTACCAGTTGTTCAAGACAAACATTGCATGCGTTCAGGAAACCGCTCGCTGTCGGAGCAAAGTCCTCTGAAGTAGTAATTTTGCTAAATCCTTGAAATTACTAAAATCGAACAAATTACTATATAAAACTACTAAGTAATGCATTCTTAGTAATTTCGTGAGACCTCAAAAATGCATCAAGTGCTTCAAAAGTGCATCATAAAAGCTTCAAAACTGTGCATCACAGCAGCCACAAGGAATGTACTGCGCAAGCAAAAGAAACATGCCCAAGTAGGCCAGGAATGTGTGTGAACCTTGAAAAAATCAATCACCACCTGCGGATGGTGGAGGTGCGGTCTTTCTTCTGGTCTGTCTCCTTTCACATCCTAAAGTTGGTGTTGGGGTCGACCACCTCATCGCACGTAGCAACCTCCTCTTCTGGACCCTCTGTGCTCTCCTCTGTGTTCTCTTCTGCCTTCTCTTCTGCCTTCTCCAAACCCTCTGACCATTTCTTCTGTTTCTTTTCTGGCTTTGTGTTCTCAGGCTTCTCTGTCTTCTCCTTTGTTGACTGACTTGGCTTCTTCAAGGCCTTCATAACCTTTGTTGTAGGTTTCTTCATCACAGCCTTGCCCTTGGGTTGTGCCCAAAGCTTGACCTTGGCATGTGCCTTTGGCTTGCCCTTGGCATGCGCAGCTGCAATGACTCATGGTCACTCTGGTGAACACTCTGGTGAGGACTCGGTTGTGTAGCAGGCA